AAGAGATATTTTACATATCATATAATAGTCCATGGATAAATTATCATTGTTTTTAGCATTTCCCAATCATTTGTACAAAACGGGTGCCTTTTAATAATCATGATTTTAAACAATGCTACCATAAAAATTATTTGTCCCTGTCTTGACTGTGTCCATTGTTTAAATTCCTAATGGTGGACTAACAGTGTCAAAGAACATAGATTTTTGGCACACACTGTACACATAGAAAGTTGCTAACTGAAAAGACACTACAAATGTTTGCAGAAGAGTCCATTTCAACACAGTCTTAAATTGCTCTGCTTAGCTGATAAGTAGATCATTGTGGTTTGATTTGCCTTTTTCATTTTTGAACAGTTTTATTTATTGTCTATCACATTTTTTTCTTCTTTGATTTGTCTTTTCACTTTTTTTGCCATTTTAGAGTTTCTAAAGTATTTTTTAAATATTATTCAGAAGGGTAACAATTTGTCATTGTTTTTGAAAATTTTCTCAAGCTTGTTATAGAAATTAAAAGTAGGAAGTTCCACTTTTAGATTCTTACTCCATTGCTTTTATGCTTTCCAATGCTGAAATCAATGAAATATTTCTCATTTTCTTATAGACTTATTAAATAAAAATTGTTTCTTTTTTCTGCAATTTAAACTTTTAAACTTCCTAAAATGTATTTTGGTGTGAGGCATAAGTGACAATCTTACTTGAAATTTTCAACGTCTGCAATTTTTTCCAATTGTAGAAAATCTTACAGCCCACTTTAAAGTTCTCCATCACCTCCTTTTTTAGTTAGGTGTCTCTTTCTTTAAAGAGCCAGCATTATAAAATGGGCTTAGAACTGTCTTTCTAATTCTGGTTCTATCATTTGCTATGAGCTGTGCGACCTTGAGGAAATTACTGAACTCAAAAAAGCTTCAATTTCCTAGTGTATAAAATGTATAGAATTATGTGGATTAAATTAGGTCATACATGTAAGTCCCTGAGAACAGTGTGTTGGAAGAGTACAAATCTAATTAAAGGCATATTTTAATATTTGGCTCACAAAGCTAATGTCAGCAGTAAATGAAACGGTACGTAATATACCATTACAGAATCTAGCAAGTAATGGGGCTCAATAAATGATAGCTGTTATTGATAATAATATGGAATTTGCTATAGACATTCATATATTTATTTTATGTGTCTACTGTCTTGACTTTTTATTCCCCTCTTGCTTTCCACCTCTAAGTTATGTGATCCTGGGTAGAACAGATCTGGTCCCAATGCCAGATGAGTGGATAAGACCAAGATGGGCCAGAAAGCAGACCAGTCCTTTAGTTGACAACGCCCATGGGTAGGTTTTGGCATGTAGCTGTAACTGCATGGGTTTCATTTAAAATAAGAATGGCAGTTGGCATGTCCATCTGATTATTGCTTGATTCTTTAAAGAACTGATTAGTGGGTATGACAAGTCAATACCAAAGGAAATACTGATTCTTCAGTGTATGCATATATTACAAAGGAAGAAGAAAAAAATGTAGACTTATAGAACTCATTATTTACTTTCTTGCAAGAAGTGCATTTAATAATTAATTTACAAATTTACATATAATCTTAAAATATGTAGAGTATCTAATATTTGATATACTTCATATTAGTCGATATATTAAGAACTTTAATGAGACCAGCAGAATTTTGTTAATCATCTTGCATGTGCTACATGACATTTTAGGCAGGAGTGTGGGATTCAGCCAAGATACTGTACTAGCCTTCAGTTCTAAGGAAGGATCAAATCATTCAGAACCATCTTGCTGTTCAAGCTGACTGCTCAACAGTGGAATGAAATTCTAACTTTTAAAAAATTGGGGGACACGTTTTCATAACACTGTCCTATAGTACCTTAGTGCTTGGATTTTCCGTGGAAACTGACAAGGTTAAACAATGAATAAAGGGACTCTATACAGATACACAGCAATTATTAGGTTTTGGAAGTAAAATTTAAATTGATTCTAAGTGCTATTGTTTAAAACTCCATTGTGATACAGCACAGACACTTTCTTACTTTTAAGATGATGCATAAGAAATGCAGAAGGGCCCATTTGCTGGCAGAGCATCCTCCACTCCCACATGTCCCATGTGGTCTCACATACTTTAATTGCCACTAAATAGAATTTTGGCAATACTGTGTTTTATTAAATTGGATAAAAAGAAGCTTAATAAAATGTGAAGGGTTTCTTTTATGCTCTTATGTGCTGATGTTACATATTCAACCCTGCCTCTTCAGTAAAGTCAGCCTCTTACAACATAAAGCAGTGGTTATCATATTTAAGCACACTTAAGGGTTACTTAGAGATCATGCTTCATCTTGTTAAATAAATATTCTTGGCTGTCACCTCTGAGATTTTAATTCAGGAGGTCTGGAGTGAAGATCAGCAATCTTTTCATTTAAAAACATGCCAGGTGATTCTTCTGATGTGGTGGTTCACAGAATACGATTTGGGAGGCGCTGACATAAAGGATTAACTAGACCTTTCGTACTGTGTATTTATTACACAATCCTAAGTACACTTTATCCTATATCATCATTAATCATCTAGTCTGTCAAAATGTATGCTGTAAGAATGCATAAGTGAATATCATAAGCCATTTTTAAAGAAATAATTATGTATTATAGATGTATAAATTTGTGAAACATATACCTTACTAATATAAAATTGTTAAATGTCTTTTAGTTGTGAAAAATACTCTTTTTCTTTTGTAAATCTTGGAAAATATTCATATGTAACAACCAGTGGTTTTCAAAAAGGAAAGCTTTTCACAAATGTTTGTTTGCTTCTGTTTTACTAGATACCTTAGAAGATGCTTTCTAATATCCTTCAGAAAACCAATAATCTAAAAGGTATGACACAAAAGTAGCAAATATAAAGATACTTCAGCTCTAGTTCAAAAATATTATTTGTGACTTGTGAGAGATCCAATTTAAGTACAAAATGCGTTTATTTAATAGAGTTGCTGTACTAGAATATAGAAATTGCTACAGTGTCAAGTAGAATCTAAGATTTACTTCAAAGCCTCCTTTTGTAACTCACTGATGACAGAGGTAGGTAAAGAGAACAAAAAAAATTGAAATTGAAACTGTATGTCAGCAACACTTAAACTCATCAAAAACACAGTTTTGATTTACAGTCTCTACTATTACACACCTGGCTTTCACACAGATTTAAATTATTATACTTCTGATAATCACTGTAATATTTTTACTATTTTTTAGAGACTGTATCTTGCTCTGTCACCTAAGCTGGAGTGCAGTGATGCAATCAGGGCTCACTGCAGCCTCAGTCTCCCAGGCTGAAGTGTTCCTCCCAGCTCAGCCTCCCAAATAATTGCGTACACAGGTGCACACCACCAAACTTTAAAAAAAAATTATAGAGCAGAACCTCCCTCTGTTGCCTAGGTTAGTCTCAAACTCCTGGGCACAAGTCATCCTCCTGCCTCAGCCTCTCAAAGTGCTGGAATTACAGGTATGAGCCACTGTGCCCAGTATATTTTTATTCCTTATAAACAAGTATTAAAGAAGGACACAAAAAATTTTACTAAAGTCACATAAGCCCACACAAATGTAATATGAAGGTAACCTTTGAAAACTGAAACACAAAATTTTGGCAATCAAATGTAATATAATATGCCCAAGATTTCACAGAGAAACCCTTAAATAAAAATAAAGAATTCGGGAAACAAGTCAGTCTTTCTGGTGGCATAATAAAGTTTGACTGAAGGGGCATAAAAGCCAAAACAGCAACTAAAAGTGAGTAAGAGGCACAGCAGATGTCTGTGTGGGAAGGAAGCAAAATACAGCTGAAAAGAGGACTCTCTTCCCAAAGTATTCCCAGCTCCATCATCATACAAGTGACCTTGAAAAAGCCACTATGTGGACAGTGAAACTAATCTTATTCAATATAGCAGAAGAGATATTATTTTAAAGTTATTACATAGTTCAAGTAAATATAAATATTTGGTTTGGATATACCTCATTGTAAGAAAAATAAATAGATAATGTTTAACATTTCAATGTAATCCTTTGATCCTTTTTGTTTTTTAATGGAGACAGAGTCTCGCTCGCTCTCTCACCCAGGCTGGTGTGCGCAGTGGTGTAATCTTGACTCACTACAATCTCCACCTCCCAGATCCTCCCACCTCAGCCCTGCTAGTAGCTGGAATTACAGGCGTGTGCCAGCATGCCCACATAATTTTTTTTTTGTAGAGGTGGGGTTTTACCATGTTGCCCAGGTTGGTCTTGAACTCCTGGGTTTAAGTGATCCTCCCACTGCAGCCTGCCAAACTTCTGGGATTACAGGTGTAAACCATGGTGCCCACCCTACCTTCACCAAATATCTTTAAAATGTAACCATTGTATTTTATGTACAACTTGATATAGAGAATAACAAATCAGGAAAATACTACTTTCTAGAGTAAATATGTTTTATACATGTATTTTATACCAGTGCTGTGGTTTGAATATTTGACTCTGCAAACCCTATGTTGAAATTTGATCCCAGTGTTGGAGGCAGAGCCTAATAAAAGGTGTTTAGATCATGGGGATGGACCCTCATTAACGGCTTAATGCCGTCTTGGGGATAAGGAGTGAGTTTCTGCTATATTCGTTCCTGCAAGAGTTTCCCTGACGGCTGGTCATTAAAAAGAGCCTGGCATCTCCCCCTGGTTTCTGTACACCCCAGCAATCCTTCCTTTTCCTCCATGAGTGGAAGCTTCCCAATGCCCTCACTAGAAGAAGATGCTGGCACCATGCTTCTTGTACAGCTTGCAGAACTGTGATCCAAATAAACCTCTTTTCTTTACAAATTACCCACCTTCAGGTATTCTTTTATAGCTACAGAAATGAACTACAACAACCAGTAATGTGTGCAATTGCAGTAAGGGTACATTCTTTTTATGAGCAGAAGGGTATAATTAAAACTTCTTAGTTACCAACGTCTTTAGTGTTTTTAGCAGTGTTTTTGTGCTTCCATCACCTTTTCAATGTTGACAGCCTCTGGTTTCATCTGGGGGCATGTCACCTGCAGTGGGAAAATGCCCATAAATAGATTTGCTACTTCGGGTGATTTCCTCGTCATTAATTCATTCATTTTTTTTCCACAAATATTTACTTAGTACCTACTAGGTAGTAGGCACTTCAAAGAGAATAGAGCTTATGATATGAAAACTACAACAGCCTCTGGTTAATGGCCTTTCCCTAGTATATAATTCAAATTCTAAGTCTTTGCTTATGAATCTCTTGATAATCTCAGCCTATGCTCCTCATCCAAACTGTGGGGGTTCCACAAATGTCCAGTAGAAATGGTATTATAGCCACTGCTTCCCAGTCATTCTAATGAGTCCAAGATTGAGTGTGTGAACTTCCCATAATACTTCAAGACATAACTTTTCTGCGACCCTCTGAGGCTGAGTTGTCATCCTGAAGTATTGAATAATCTCCTGTACTTTCTGAGGACACAGGAACACAATTTTAAAAGTCCTGCTTTTTCTATCCCTGGATTACACCCCTTCAAGCCAAGGTTGCATGTCCTACTCATCTTGGTAGGCCCGTGCTGGGCTCAATACATGCTTACTGAAGGCACAAGTGTACTTTCTTCTCAACAGCAATCCAGATTGTGTTTTGCTTCCAAGGTTAGCTTCAGGCACCACCTTCTCCACTGGCAGGATGGATATTAAAAATATTTAACAACTAGTTCAGCTCAGGCACCAACCACTCCCAATGGACACTGGCTGCAGCAATAAAGGGGAGTGGTCCTGGAAGCCCCTTGCTTGTGCAGGCATTATTCTTCTGTTTGCTTCTTTAGAAGATGGGAGTAGGCTGGGAAATCCTGAGGATGGGGTCCTGCTAGCTTCAGAAGGGGCAGGTTGGTGGGTTCATGGTAACAGCTACTTAATTAGCATGTGTGACAGCACTTCAAACTGTAAACAACTAGTATAGCTGATCTGCACCATATCAGCTCAATATTAGCCCTGTCCACAAGGTGTTTCCAGAGCACTGAGGCCGGCACTGATCCCCTCCTTCTTGGGCATCCTATAGTGGCTCATTTCATCACTCACGCAGCCAGTGAATTCTCTACTACTTTTTACAGTTAATTGATTACATGTGGGTAAGTTCCTAAAGAACAGAAGCCATGTCTTCCCTTCTTTCAATCTTTCAATTTTTCTTTCTTTCATTTAATCATTCTTTATTTCTTAATCTTTCTCTCTCTCTGTCTTTCTTTCTTTTTCTTTCTTTTTTTTCCTTCAAGACAGGGTCTCCCTCTCACCCAAGCTGTAGTACAGTGGCATAGTCAAAGCTCACTGCAGGCTCCACTTCCCCAGGCTCAGGTGATCCTCCCACCTTAGCCTCTTGAGTAGCTGGGACCATGAGCATGCCCCATCACACCCAGCTAATTTTTGTAGAAACAGCATCTTGCTATGATGTCCAGGCTTACTTTGAACTCCTGGGCTTGAGTGATCTGCCTGCCTTGGCCTCCCAAAGTGCTGGGATTACTAATGCGAGCCACCATGCCAGGCCTTTATCTTTAAATAAATCATCTAAAAGTTACATAACCATCTCTACATCATTTTATATTTTTTGAAATGCTTTACCAGAGTGATTTCCATTACACTTCTGGTTATTAAGGTTAATATCAAAACTAACTATATGAACAAATTGTCCTTATCTTTTATAAAACTGTTACAGAAGACATTATTATACCATTTAAACTCTCTTATTTATATTCTTTTAGAGGTCAAAACTGAAGGAAAGTTTAACTCTTTTAAAATACTGATACTCTACATAGATAAGAAATTATCTCACTCACTCTCACGCACACACACCCCTATTTCTTTAATAATCCTCCCAAAATCCTTCAATAAAACAAAAATACATCCTGAATCTGATTACAATCTCACCTGCATCATTAACATCCTAATCCAATCCTCCCTCCTTGCTCACCTCAGGGGTGCAAACCTTGAAACCTGTTAAACTGGTCTCCCTTTTTCTCTTGCTGTACTCACAACTCATCCTTCACCAAGGAAAGGGAGGGGAGGATCCAGAGAGGAAGAGATGGGGAGAAAGGGAGAGATATCTTCTTCAAAGAATAAGTGAAGTCCTACCATATCCTGGTCTAGAACCCTCCAGAGGCTTCCCACTGTGCTTCTAACGAAATCACAAATCCTTTTCCAAGACTCAACTACGTTTAGAAAGAAATCTAACTTTTGCCAAGTAGGCCCAAGCTTGCCTCTCATATCTCGTTGCCGTCCATCCTCCTCTTTGATCACTACATTTCAATCATGCTAATCATCCTTCTGTCCCTTGAATATGCCCAGTACATTCCTCTCTCAGTTAGGCATCATGCTTCTTCAGCCCCCCATATATGCTGAAAGCTGTCTCCCAATATCACAGGAACTCTGTCTTGCCATCGTTAAATGGCCAGCATTCAAAACTATACCTAGCTCAGTAAATATTTTCTGATTGACTTATTATATTTTGAGTTAGCTAGCAGAAAAGTTTTTAATTGTTTTTATAATAAGACCAGAATTCAGGTTCATGGTCTAAAGTAATAAGAACATGTACAGAATAATGAAAAACCTCATATGAAAAACCTGAAATTCTCTACTACAATAGGGAAAAATTGTTAAAACAAATGAAGTAATAAAATAAAAATCTCTAAGAATAAACTGGTAAAAAGAGAAGGATGTGATAATTTGAAAATCAGCTAGCTAAGACAGGTAACCTAAAAAATGTCTATAATAAATCATCACATTTATGGTTTTGCTCTTGGGGCAAAGCAAATTCACTTGTTATGCTAAAGAAACCACAATAAAAATACACAATGTCAATGCAAGAAAAATATAGAGTATCCGCAGACCAATATGCAATTTATAAATGAGGTCATAACAAAAATACAAGCCAAAAGAAGAACATAAAATAAAAATACATTTTTCTTTATGCTGTTGTAAATTGCACTTTCCCAAAACATGGTCAAGAATCCTTCTCCCTAGAGCCTACCTGGACCCTGCAAGGCCTTTCTGACTAGTGTCTGAGACAAAGCTACCCTAGGATCCAGGGCAAAGTCTGTAAGGTATATCTGAGAGCTGCTTCTTTCACAAGTGAACTTGGAATATGCCCACCAGTCATCTACATACATGAAAATGAAAAAATAATGGGATGATGCAGTTTTCCCCTCTGTGATTAAAAATTCAGAAGCATTACCAGGACTAAATAAAAATTTTAAAACAGCTGAATTTTGTCCTTAACTCTCTCCTCTCCTGCATGCTTCCTCTTTTTGAAGCTGCCAAGCCAATTGTGATAACAGCAGATCTTCGGTCCTTTAAGGATTAACATAAAAGCCAACCTCATTTCAGAGGAAAACTCTAACATATGCTTGCGAGGCTTACATTCTCACTTGGAAGGCATAAAGTCCAACTTAAACTAACTGAACCACATCTTTTGCTTAAGCCATGCTCGGTATTAAGTTAAACATTAACTTTTTTTTCCTCCATGGCCAAAGTGGAAAAATTCTGGGCAGAATATGACTTCTGAAGGTAAAAAACAAAACAAGTCCACTTCCACCTCTACCACAACTTTCCAGTGTCACAACAATCATAAGCTCCCGTCTATAAAACCTTCAGCAGAGGATTTTATTCAATGACTAACAGGCTATGTTAATTAACTCAGAAAAAAATGAGATTGTATGGTTTTAAAAATACACTCATTTTTGTGGTCCTGAACTAGTAGTAAGGTTACTTGTTGTTCCCTCAGTTCAAAAAGCTGCATTAGAAGAGACTGTTCTGAGAACTCCGGAGTGGCTCTCTGGAGTGGATGTGGGTAGTGGAAACCGTAATCCAGAAGAAACGTGACTGCTCCTGGTTACAAACCTCGCCTGTGCAGTTGTTATGGTGGGTTATCTTTCTTCCCTGGGACTGCCTCCCTCCCCACCTTTCTATTTCTTCTTTTTTGACTGCGGTGACTTCCATGCCGGAACTACTGTCCTCTTTTTCACTACAGGGCTTTCTGTTCACTGCCAACTGCGAATATTTGCTCTACATGTTGTGTTTATTGACAAATTCTTAGTTTTGGTTTTAGTTTCACTGTGGTCTGACAGCGTTTCCATGCTAAGAAATGATGACATTGTTCCAGGTCAGAATAAAAGCTAAAGAAACAAGGGCACCACCTCCTATACCTCAGACTTTGTTCTCACTCCTGGAAATAACAGGCAAGTACATAACAAGTACAAACGCCTCTGCTTCTCTTACTCAGAAATCCTACATATCTTAGTTTCATAGTTTCAGCCAAACCATGCAACCAGCCATTTATACTTATGTAAATAAATAACTCACAATAAGGTCAAATTCCTGGATCTGACAGATCAAAGATAAACTTTATTCTCCAGCAAATATGAAAATCCAAATATTTCAGAGATTCCTGGCCGGAAAAAAAAAAAAAACCCTCACAATAAGCCTTTGTACCCATTTTAAGGAACACATCATGCCTATGAATAATTAAAATCTGAAAGTCAACTTAAATATTTAATTGCTTAACTTTTAAGCCTTTTTACAAACTATTATTATCACAACACGAGTAGTATTTAAGGACCTCTTCACTGTAGTTAGTCAAATATTAGAAGGAAAATGCCTTTTTAGGCTGGAGCTGAAATACTCAGTGAGCATATGCTTAAAAAATGCTCTGCTACTTAGTGAGAAATGAACCATACATGAATAAATAGGTAAAAGAATTTGACAGCCTGACGGTAAGTGAATCTCTGCAATAATCCTGAAAGTTACTCTACAATAATACATATGTCCACCTTTGGACAAAATTCCAAATTAAAGAGACAGCATCATTGCTCATTCCCAATTGTCAGCTCAGAGTTAAAGATAACCAAGAAAAAACAAAAATATGGCATTGCATAACACGAAGAGGAAGCAAGAGCATGCCACTCGATCAGAGGTAGTCAGGTGATTTGATCACGTTGGTTTTATTCTGTCAACTTCCTTCCAGGAAGTTTAGACGCTTGACCAATGAAGTCTACTG